CAGGAAGAGAGTTCAAACAGTTCTGACAACAGGTCAGTTGCCAAGACACAGTGGGTCAATGCTGGGAGCATGACCCTTGACCTTAGCCAAGACTGCTTAGTTATGCCTATTTCTAGCCTTCTGTTTAAACCTAAACCTCATGTGTCATTGCCCCAGAGACTTAGGGCCACCAGACCTCTTATTGTTCCTGTGTTATGTGGTTGCACTGAGTAATTCTCTTTCCTCTGCTTTTTGTTATTATTTTTCTCTTTAATTAGTGTATTGAGCTCATGAGTGTGTGTGTGTGTGTGTGTGTGTGTGTGTGTGTGTGTGTGTGTGTGTGTGGTGTGAGGGAAGAAACGAAACCCAGGACATACTAGGAAAGCATTCTTCCTTTGAGCCATATCCCAAGGCCCTGAATATTTACAGACATGTTTTTTAAAGTACGATTACCTAGCAACATCACTGACTTTAATGTAAATGTGTCTCTCTGTTAGAATCACTATGTGTCATTTAAAGAGATCTCTCTGTATGGGCTTTGGAGCTGTTTGTGTACTGAGCCCTTCTAGCGTCTCTGGAGATGGAAGCTGGGAAAAGGGGAAACTTGGGGTGGAGTGCTGGGGTATTGGGAGTATGTTCCAAAGCTGCTTCTGCATGGGAAGCAGGATAAACTGGAACCTGCCCTTCAGAGTCCCTACAAACCCCGAGGAGACAGTTATTTTTGGAGCTACGTGATTTGAGAGCAAGTTAAGCTAGAACTCTAGGCCTGGGAAGGGGGAAAAAAAAAACCTTCCCTGGTTGTCTGTAAGAACTAAAATTATTAATTTTCTAAGAAGATAAATTCTGAAGTCATGGAGGATGGTTTTAATATTAAGTCTCAATATAGTAACAGGTCTATAAAGACCAAATGAAACAAGGGTAACAGCACTGTGTTTTAACTTCTCCATGTTATTATACAAAGCCCAGTAATGCTCACTTTCCTCCCTCTCCTTTACAACGGCATTGCCAGGGTGTGAACAGAACTCCTAATAAGACAAACATCCTCTTCCTCAGTCAGAACCTTAAAGAATGGCCTTCTGGCCAAAACCAAAATGAAGAACTACATTTGACATCATAAATCTCACCTAGCTGGGTGCAGTAGCACATGCCTTTAATACCAACACTCAGGAGGCAGAGACAGGCTGATCTCAGAGTTCAAAGCCAGCCTGGTCTACAGAGTGAGTTCCAGGACAGCCAGGGCTACAGAGAGAACCAGGTTTTGAAAATAAAATGAAAATAATAATAATAAAAATACACCTAGACAAATCGATTTTGAGGCAGGATAGAAAGACAGGGAAACTATGGGACATGGGAAGGGAAAGGAGACTTCACCCAGGAGTAAAGTTAAAATAAAGCCACTCATCAACTGAGAGCCATGAACCTCCACCCCCGCAACAATAAACATTTCATGTATAAGTTGCTCATGGAGTTAATTTTCCTTCCATGGAGAGAGATTTTATAGTAAATGACAATGTCCCAGGGTTAGGCCTGTATGCATAGAATCTTGCCTAGTGCCTGAATTCCTTCCCCAGCCACCACACCAAGGTCTCCAATAAAACTTTGTTTACAATGATGTCCCACCTTCTGTACCCTTGTGAGTGAGACATTTACATTACCAACTGTAACCCTGCAGGTGGCCCTCAGGAAACACTCAGTGATCTCAACATTTCTAACTCTTCAAACCTCACCAAAATCCAATATATGACTGTTGTAAAAAAAAATAAAATAAAAATAAAAAATAACGTAACAAAACAAACAAAAAACTGGAGCTGAGCAGCTGGTACCTACAGCAGGGTGTGCATCTCCATCTGTCCGTCTACACTCTTCCAAGAAGCATACCCACACTCGCTCTCAGTGGTGTCTTATCTTTCCTTCTGAGCACCTCTCTTTCTCTCAACCCTTGTGCTTAAGTCTATATTGAATTATTAGGGCTGAGGACATGGCTCAGTGATCTAGTGCATGAAGGTAAGAGTTGGATCCCCAACACCCATGTCAAAAGCCATGTAGGCATGGCAGCTGCCTGTAATCCCAGAACTTGGGATCCTCAGGGCAACCTGGCTAGCCAGAATCAATAGATTTCATAAATAAACAGAGTAGACAGTGATGGAGGAAGACATCCAATGTCAACTTCTGGCTTACACACACACATAGAATCACACACATGTGAACAGGTAAACTGCACACATATATGCAAATAAAAAAAAACCTTATTAAACCCCAACTCTGCTGGGCATTGTGGTGGCACATGCCTTTAATCCCAACACTAGGAAGGCAAAGGCAGTTTGATCTCTGTGAGTTTGAGCCCAGCCTGGTCTACACAGTAAATTCCAGATCAGCCAGCACTACATGGTGAGACCCTCTCTAAAGGCAAAAAAAAAAACAAAAAAAAAAACAAAAAAAAAAAACCCAACCCTGCTTCAGAAACTGGCCAGTCTTGAAATTCTTCCCTGTGTTGAAGCCATGACTCATGAGATAAGGTTCTTAAAGGGCTAGGGGATCCCTCAGGCTGAGAGTGACAGTGGAGAGTTGCTTCCTGTGCCTGCACCCTCAAACACCAACAATATCCAAGGCAGAGAACTGCCAAAGTGAGTTTGTATCTGTAAATAAATGCAGGGGAGGGTAGTTAACTATTGCAAAGGACACTGTTGTGTATGGGTAGTGGTGCTGGGAACGGAACCTAGGATCCCAGACATGCAAAGCATGCACATACCTCTAGCATTTAAAAGTCCTTTTAAAAGCCTTTACTTTGCAGTCGGTAATAAATGGTTAGGGCCATATGCTGGGATGTAAAATCAGAAAGGGAAGTGGTATGTATTAAACACCTACGTATGTAAACAATCTAAGTTACTGTTTCAAAAATAGTGGTTAACAAGAATTCAGCCTGCCCCTCACAGGTGAAATCATGAGGAGAATGGCACACAACTGTTTGCCTCACTGTACTCAGTGTTTAGCTAATATTAGAAGCATTAATAGGCCATCAATAAGTGCAACTGAATTAAAACATGTAATTCAGTACCTCAGCTCATACTTGTTAAATGGGCTTCAATGAAAGCATGAGGTTCAATACATGTTTTTATCTGTTTTCATTTTTAAAAAATCCTTTAAGATTTATTTTTAAAAATTTCATGTATACATACATGTACATATGTGGGTGTGTATGCCACGTGTGTACCAGGGTGTCCATGGAGGTCAGAAGAAAGCATCAGACCCCATAGGGCTGGAATGAGCCAGTTGAAGAGAGTGCTGGGATTCAAACGGGTTGTTTGCAAGAGCAGCATGCATTCTCAACAGACGAGCCACTTTCCAGCCTATTTTGTCTTTTTTAAAGACAGGGTCTCATATCCCAGGCTGGTCTCAAACCTGAGATAGAGCTGATGACGACTTCAAACTTCTGACTATCCTGCTGCCACCACCTCTCATGTTTGAGGTGTTTATGTGATGCTAAGGATGGCCCCCAGGGCTTGCTGTGTGCCAAGCAAGCACTCTACCAACTGAACTGTATCTCCAGACCTAAATACATGCTTTTTTGAAAAAATCGTGAGTCTTTACTGGAAGCACATCACCAAAAACAAGCCACTATATTGTATTTGTGAAGGGTGTGACAGTGGCCCCCTTTATCTGTGGCTTCCCAGTTACTTGTGGTCAATGAGATATTACAGAAGCATCTACATGTACACAGTACAATATGATAGATACCTTAAGAGAATGAGCGAGACCCACATCCACAACTTTATAGTTTGTTCATTCCGGTTTTTGTTCTTTGTGGTGCTGGAGACAGTGCCCAGGGCCTTGTGTATGGGCAGCAAGTGCTTACCACTGAGCCACGCCCCAGCACATAGCTTTTATTATACTATATTGTTATAATTGTCCTATTTTATCATTAGTGACTGTTAATATCTTAATGTATCTAATATATAAGTTAAGCCTTTATCACAGGTATGAATGCCCTACAGTCTTAGAACACACTGCTCATGGATAAGGATCGATTCCTGTACATATGCTCCAAGAAGAAAGATCTTAGCAAAGTCTGGTGGCTCTATAGTCTCATCACTTGGGAGATGGAAGCTGGAGGATTAAGAATTCAGAACCATCCTTGGCAACATAGTGAGGCTGAGATTTCACAAGACTCTGTCTCAAAAAAAAAAAAAAAAAAAAAAAAGGAAGAAAGAGAGAGAGAGAAAGAAAAGAAATAATCTTGAGCCAGTTGCAGACCTGTAACTCCAGCACTCCTAAGGCTGAGGCAGGAGGACCATGAGTCCATTATCAGCTTGGCTACTTCATGAGACCCTGTCTTAACAACAACAAACCACGAGAAGTAAGGTCCTTATGCTTTTAAAGGCTCTTTAATATTTCCCACTGTGTTTTGTTCCAATTCTTTCTTGAATGTTGTGATGCTAGCCATAAGCAATTAATGAGCTCATCAAATTTATACATACAGGTAGGCATATACAATACCCAAGGAATGAAACGCTTGTAGTCTACAGTGCTCTGAAATTTTTTCTATTAAGTTCTATCTTGTTCCATTTCTCAGAAAACAGAAAATGTAAGACTCAGGGCAAGGCTTTCAAACAGATATTTTAAACATTACATTTGTTTATTCATAATTTATTGTGTGTACATATCCATGTGGGGGGAATGTAGGTCCTACAACATAATTGTAGAGGACAGAAAACTACCTACAGGAGCCTATGTGGGTTCTGGGGAATACCAACTCCAATCTTCAGGCTTACCAAGAAGTGTCTTTACCTGCGGAGTCAACCTCACCAGCCCCAAATGGTTTTCAATCTCTTTGAAAAACACTACTCTGTGGTGACAAAATGTATCTTAAACCAACGGTCACCTCCCAGATTAACAGGAACACTCCCGCATCCAGAATGCACTGCTAGGGTTTAAAGACAATTAGGACATCAATTAGAGAACCCAACTCCCCATCCTTCATAATAGGTGAGCTGGACACAAGGGCAGAACGGGTGGCCACTCACCTTGAAGTGGAAGGAGCTGGCTGGTGACCCTGTGGAGCCGCACTCCGTTTTCATTAGGTTGCTGTAGTAGTTCTGGCCCTTGGAGCTGACATTCTGGTTGGACGTGGGGTCATCAGTGATGGGGCAGATGAAGTAGTCTTCATCCTCGTCAGTGTCTGTGTCTGAATCCCCATCATGGCCAGCTCGGGAGGACCCGTCACCGTCAACACCTTCCAGGCGGAAGATGAGGTCTTCGTCTGCCATGTTTCAGGGGCGCCTGTGTTACCTGAGGGGTCCGCTGTGCAGCCAGAGTAACTGCGCAGGTGCAGCCAGAGTTACTGCGCAGGTGCAGCAAGGACGGTCCTGCAAGGGAAGCAGAGTGGAGGGTGGGTGCTGGCGCCCGGGCGTGAGGATTGTCTGGATACCTGCATGACACTGGCAATGGCCACACCGTCAGAGTTAAAACCCAGAACAATCATTTGGGGAGGCTGTTAGCAACAAGCTGGCAATAAGGTAGGAGGAACATTTTAAATGTCCAAGCCTATTGGCCCAGTCACTTCACTTCGGAGAACTCTGAGTGCTTGGAAACCGGACGCGCCTCACAGACAACCACAGCTATCTCTTAAGGACATAAACTATATCAAATCACTCCTCTGCTTACCACCCTCCAGTAACTCCCCAAAGACTGCACCAGCTGGGACCCCTGCCCATCATCCTCAGGCCTTAGCTGCTCTTCTGAGGACACCAGTTAATTTCCATTCAGTGAACACATCAAGTGCATCCCCACCTCAGGGCTTTTGTATTTGTTCCCAGTGCCTGGAACAACTTTCTGTGTTATTTCTCATTATTGGGTTGTAGCCCAAAGGATGCCACTTTAGAGAACTCCGAATTTCCAAGTCAAAGACCCTGTTTTATTTTTGTCTCAGTAGTCTTCCTGAGTTGAAACTGTCCTGTGTACTTTCTTTTATTACACTTATTTTCCCCTCTTCTTGAAAATAGATTCTTTTCTTACATAATATATCCTGACTAGAGGTTTCCCTCTACTCCTCCCTGTTCCTCCCCACCTCCCCTCCTACCTGCATTCACTTCCTTTCTGTCTCTCATTAGGCAGGGAAAGGCTTCCAAGGGATAATAATAAAATATAACAAAATAAAATATAATAAGATAAAACCATTACATCGAAGTTGAACAAGACCAACAAACAGAAGGAAAAGAGCCCAAGAGAAGGCACAGAATCAGAGACCCAGTCATTCACACACCCAACAATCCCATAAAAACACTAATCTGGAAGCCATAATATATACACAACAGAGGACCTGTGGCAGACCCCTGTAGGCCCTGCACATGCTATCTCAGTCTCTGTGAGTTCATGTGAGCCTTGCTCATGCTGATTCAGAGAGCCTTGTTTTCTTGGTGTCCTTCATCACCTCTGACTCTTTCACAGCTTCTAGTGAGGTTCCACAAGCCCTGAGGGGAGAGATATGATGGAGACATCCAATTTAGGGCTGAGTGTCCCACATTCTTTCTCTACTCTCTGCATGATGTCTGTCTGCGGTGTCTCTATTTGTTCCCATCTGTTGCAGAGGAAGCTTCTCTGATGATGGCTGAGCAAAGCACTGACCTCTGTATAGCATAGTAGTATAGAGTATAGCAGAATGTCAATAGGAGTCTTTTTTAAAAAAAAAAAAAAGAAAAAGAAAAAGTAAAAGAATAGTAGTATTTGGCTTTACCCTAGATCCCTGGTCTTTGGTCACCCAAGTAGTGTTGGGCATGGGTTCCATCTCATGGGATAAAAAAAAAAAAAAAAGAAAAAGAAAAAGAAAAAGAATAGTAGTATTTGGCTTTACCCTAGATCCCTGGGCTATATAGTCTCAGGTCTTTGGTCACCCAAGTAGTGTTGGGCATGGGTTCCATCTCATGGGATGAGTCTTTTATTTATGTGTGCATGTGTACATGTACAGGTATGTGCCGGCCACAGAGAAGGTATAGAGGTCTGAGAACAACTTGTGGAAGTTGACTGACTCCTTTCCTACCATGTGGCCCCCAGGATGGAACAGGCCACCAGGCTTAGGAGCAGGTGACTTTACCTGCTGAGCCATCTTGCAGGCCTTTTTTCCTTCTGTTATCCTCATGTCCACTGATTGTCTTAGAAAGTACCTGGCACAGACAAAACAATGTATTTCCTGTCAGTAAATGAACAATTGTCCTCTGAAGCTCCAATAACATCAATGACAGCAAGAAATTGCTAGTGCCCCCAAATGTCCATCAGTGAAAGCCTGTTATATAAATTAGTGTTTCTTTCTACACAATGAGGTACTGTGTGGTGGCTAGAAGCAGGGAGGTCTAGAACCCAAGGACACACCAACATGGTCAGGAGACAGTGCAGCAAGACTGTAAGAAGGAAGTCTCACACTCATAGGGTCAACTGACTTTCAGCCAGATGCTAAAATGACTGAATTGGGCAAGAAAAATCTTCAACAAATGGGGCTGAGAGACCCTGAATCCCTTCCTTACATGGCATGCAAATGTTAAATGAAAATGGACTAAAGCACCTTGGTGGTGGTAGTGGCATAAGCCTTTTATCCCAGCACAAAGCAAGCAGAGATAGCAAGATCTCTGAGTTTGAAGCCAGCCTGGTCTACAAGGCAATTTCTAGAATAGCCAGGGCTACACAGAGAAACCCTATCTCAAAAAACAAAACAATAAAAGGAGTAAAGCATTAAGAGCTAAACTCAGGAAATACAGGACATCTTCATAGTTTTGGATTAAGCAAGACTTGGCTGCGGCAGTGGGGGTGGTACTAGGGATGGAGCCCAGGGCAGTCTAGCCCTTGGGTATTTGGTTTTCTTTGACTTAAGTTTTATTATATATAGTGCAGGTTATCCTCTAATTTTCTGTGTGGTCTTGAACTCACAATATCCTGGCTGTCACCACCTCTTAGTTGCCTAGACTACAGGCAATTTGTCACCATAACCAACAAGATTTCTTCAACATGGCAGCCAAAGTACTAGGAACAAAATAATAATTAAAATAAAAAACTTGTGTGTGATGAAGGACTGTTATATGAGAGGGGAGTTGAGAGATGGCTCAGCGGTTAAGAGCATTTCTTGCTTCTGCGGAGCACTGGGGTTCAACTCTCAACACCCACATGGCAGCTCACAACCATTCTCATAATTCCAGTTCCAGGGGACCTGACACTTGCTTCTGCCCAGATACACATGGGGTAGGCAAAATACTCATATACATAAAATAAAAAAGTAAATAATCTAAGAGAAAGAAACAAATGCATTCACAGAATAGCTGTGGTTATCCTCCTCCAGCCTCTGTTGGGTGCTTATGGGGGATAGAAACACAGAGAGATATACACACAAATAAACAACAAAAGTGAAGACACAACCTACAAAATGAGAAAAAGGGTTTTCAAATCATAAACTCGATAAATGACTCAACAAAGAACTCTTACAATCAATAATTAACAGTAAAAATGGCCAAAGGATTTGAACAGTCATTTGTCTGTTCAAATGTGTATACATATGCTCCCACAGGCATATGTATACACGTGTGTGCTCACACACACACATACATACACACAGAGAGAGGGAGGTAAGAAAAAATAATTTTAAACCCATAAAAATAGCTGGTATACACATGAGAAGATGTCATTAGGGAAATGCATTGAAAGACACACCCCACTAGGACGGATATAATTTAAAAACTGGGCAATAATAAAAATCCGCAAGGATGTCCAGGAATTGGAACCCACAGCTGCTAGTGGAACTGTAAAATAGTGTACTTGCTATGGAAAACAACCTGACAGCTCCTTATGGTCCAGCAATTCTGCTCCCAGGGTGCACTCAAACGAAATGAAAACATGTCTTCACAATCACTCATAAACAAGCTGGGTTTGGTGGCTCATGCCTATATAATCCCAGAACTCTGAAGACAGAGGTGAGAGGATTGCAGGTTCAAGTCCAGCCTGTACTACATAGTGAGTTCCAGACAGGCCCACCTAGGCTACACAGTAAGATTATCTCTCTCTCTCTCTTTCTCCGTCTCTGTCTCCCTCTCCCTCTCTCTCACACACACACACATGAGAAGGGGTTGCCAAGATGACTTAGTGGGTGTTTGTCCCACAAGCCTGGCAATGAGAATTCAATTACGAGAATGCACATGGTAGAAAGAGAACTGATTCCTCAAATTGTCCTCTGACATCCATAAGCACACCATGGTATGCATGTCCCCACTTACACATCATTAATGTACACACACAATTAAAAATAAGTTTTTAGGCCAGGCGTTGGTGGTGCATGCCTTTAATCCCAGCACTCGGGAGGCAGAGGCAGGCAGATCTCTGTGAGTTCGAGGCCAGCCTGGTCTCCAGAGCAAGTGCCAGGATAGGCTCCAAAGCTACACAGAGAAACCCTGTCTCGAAAAACAAAAAAACAAAGACAAAAAAAAAGATAAAATAATAATAATAATAATAATTTTTTATAACTTTTACATAAATGTTCGTAAGACAAAAAAAAAAGATAAAATAAATAATAATAATAATAATAATTTTTTATAACTTTTACATAAATGTTCGTAGAGCCACTGTGTTTGGCCTAGTGTTTAGTTTTTGTCTCAGCCATGTCTTTCTTCGGAAGGCGTTGGCACTTTGACAGCTATGAATCAGAACACATTTAAATTCTAACTCTGTACATACTCCTAAAATGGAAAGTAAAATCTCAAACCCTGTACTTGGCCTTCCTTTATAAAATGCACTCTTGCTATCTATTTAACTTGAGCCTGTTTTTGTTTCTTTTTATCCTTTTCCTTAGTGTGCTGGCCACACATTGATTTCTCTACTTCTGGTTTGAAACTTCATTCAGCTGCCAAGTTTGTTTTCTACCCTCAGAGCAGGACAGTAACCAGCCTGGAACAGATGCCAAAGCCACCTGATCCTCTTTGGAGCCTGCAGCTCCTAGCCCAGAGCCTGCTCTGTCCCAGTCAGCATTAGAGACCAGGACAGTATGGTACCTGTAACTGCCAGTAGACTCCACCAGGTCAACAGCTCCAGGAGCCAGGATGGTGCCATGCCCACAGCTTCAGCAATGACCCCAGGAAATGTGGCATCCCTCCTGCACTGCTCAACTGTGGCAGCAGCTGAGTGAGGAAGTGGCCTTTCTGTGTTTCCACAGCCAGCTCATAGAAGCCGTGAGAAAGAACCACAGATAAACACCCTCCTGACCCTGGGGACCAGGAGCTGCTGTTGACAGCAGCTGTGACAGCTTGGCACTATGCCTCATACCCAGCAGGCACTTGTTACATATCCAGAACCGAGTGAACCTGGTTTTGTGGGTTTCAGTGTGCCCTGAATCCGC